AAACATAGATCCCTGCCCAGCTTACCAGCACATATCATGTGTTTGCTTTCTTGCTACTGTATGATTGTTGACATCTTATCTCATATTTCAGATCTCATATCACTACATCATCTTTTAGAGGAAACAACATTTATAGGAAGAACTTTAATGAGCCACAATTTGTAACTTTTTATTTGCAGAGCTCAGAAGAGTGCATCAGTTTCAGCAAATAGGACGTTTTTATTATTCATGTCCTCGGGTTAATGAGTAACATGCACGCAGTCCTCTCTTTGTGAGATATGATTTACATTGAGGTAAAAAGCTGAACAAACCACAAGTGAGAGAGAAAGGGAAGGGCTGGAGGTGGTCATATTCATGACTCTGAGCCTTCTAGTTTTTAGTTGGAGTTCAGAGCTGTGTGAAAAGTCTGAAAAATCATATCTCATTTTTGCATTCACATTGTTTCATGTACATTTAATGAACTACATTTATCGTTGTCCTAAAGTCTCATATGGCTCTCAAAAATATATCACAATGGTTTTTAAATGAACAGAAGTGTAAAGGCAGTTTTTGACCAAATAAATTGACATTATTACTCGTCCTCTTATCTTTCCAAACCTGTATTCTGTAATGTTATAAGCAAAGATTTACACAGTTTAAGAGACATGGTCGATATGCTGTCATTGTATGGAAAAAGTGACATAAAGATTCTTCAACAGGGTATGTGCAGGTCTTAAAAAGGCCTTGAAAAGTCTTAATTCACCCTTCCACAAATTAAGGCCTTAAAAAGGTCTTAAATTATAGTCATAGCATTGAATGTTGCATACACTGCAACAAATGAATATCTTCCTCATTATTTTGTTTTCCAATATCTAAACTTCCTTAAATCGAGTTGCATTTACGTACTTGCGATGCAAAATGAAGATATGAAGTCACAAAATGATGCGAGTTCATGTTCAAAACAAGAGTAAATATCTCTAAATGGGGATTGAAAAAAAAAGTTTTTTTTTTGAGCCCATTAGCAGGTATTTGTACTTGGTTTACTCGTAAAATTTAATTTGGATCTTTTCAAGTAAATGCATCTTCTTGATTCAAGAATCCTAGACATTTGCACAAGAGAAAAATACCAAGGAAGAATATCATTTTTTTTTTCAAATTCCATTTTTTCCCCAAAGTTATCAGAAGGTAAAAGTTATTTTCATACAGTATTCTAGTGGTTGAATATGAGCCCATTAGCAGGTATTTGTACTTGGTTTACTCGTAAAATTTAATTTGGATCTTTTCAAGTAAATGCATCTTCTTGATTCAAGAATCCTAGACATTTGCACAAGAGAAAAATACCAAGGAAGAATATCTTTTTTTTTTTCAAATTCCATTTACAGAAGGTAAAAGTTATTTTCATACAGTATTCTAGTGGTTGAATATGAAACCTCATATTCAGAGGTTGTTTTTTCCCCCAAAATGAATTGAAAAAGCAGTGGATATCTGTTAGAAGTCGTATTTGGTGTTGCTAATACAACTAATTGAAAAAAGACTTACATATTGGCTTACATAATAGTGTTAATTTCAATAGATTTCTTAACATTTCTTTGTTTGGCCTTAAAAATGTCTTAAATTTACTTTTATAAACCTGCAAAAACTGTTCAACTATTTATTTTCCATGTACAAAATACTGTCATATTGGTTTGGAACAACAGGCTTCTACAACAAGTGCTTTTTTCAATGGCATATTGCAACATCAGTGTTTTATTAACTGTATATTGAGCTCATAATCTTGTTAATTCAGCTCAGAATATGATTTTTTTGTCCTTTTTATTCGGAGAGAGTGTGTGCAGGACTACTCGTAGGCAGTGGGGATTGTTTGTATAAATCGGCACACATGATCAGATACAGCAGTGATAGGAGAAACTTACCTATCACCTGGGGGGCAGAGACAGGGGTTCTTCTTTAGATCCCTTTTAGAAACACCTGATCTCACTACTGAGAGACGACATCATTGCATGGCTTAAGACTGTACAACTTATGTGAAAATTGAAATGAGCTGTTCTCTTTTAAAGCTTGTGGAATATCAATCAGAAGGTCATGGATGATTCCTCATGTGTTTTTTTTTAATTTTCTGCATCTCTTCATGATGAAAGAGATCTAAAGTGTAGTTCTTCACTCTTAAAAATAAAGGTGCTTCACGATGCCATAGAAGAACCTTTTTTTCTAAATGGTTCCATAAAGAACCTTTAACATCTGAAGAACCTTTCTGTTTCACAAAAGGTTCTTTGGGGCGAAAGAAGGTTCTTCAGATTATAAAAAGGAAAGAAAGAGATGGTTCTTTAAAGAACTTTTGACTGAATGGTTCTTTGTGGAACCAAAAATGGTTCTTCTATGGCATCGCTTGAAGAACCTTTTGAAGCACCTTTATTTTTAAGAGTGTTGGTGAACTTATCTTTCAAAACCATAATTTAATCAGATTTTGATTGTGCAGACTGCCTTAATGTTCTCATTATATCTGTATCCAACCACACCTTTGTTGATCTGAGCTGTCATGGTTTATTGGTGGCAATCAACCTACCTGATCCGGCTGATGCAGATTAGAGGAAAATATTCTCGTAACTTCCAGAATTTTACAGAAATTGAGCTTATAGTTCCTTGTTCTCCCATATGCCTGTTCCAAAATGTATCAATAGCCTTGTCGAGGCATAATATGCATGCAGTTTTCAAATAGACCTATTTTTTCTTCCATTGTATATCTGCATAATTTTAAAGACATAATTTGGCATTTTTTTGATGAATTATTTAAAAATATGGCAAAACACCTTTGACAAGGCACTTTTAACACTTAAAGAGGATATCATTTTTTTATTATACAAGTATTTTATTGTAATTGTTATAAAAATATTATATATTTGTATCATTTTAAATGTTGTTTATCAGAATCAGAATCAGAAGAGCTTTATTACCAAGTATGTTTACACACACAAGGAATTTGACTTGACGACAGGAGCTTCCAGTGTAGAAGAAAGTACAAACATAGTGCAGACATACATGATAGTGTAGACATACATAGGAATAACACAGTAGGGATGTAATATAACACTAATATAATAAAAAAGAAAAATTAAATAATGTACTATATACAGAAATAGAAGTATAGGAAAAAATGTAATTGTTTAGATAAATGTACAGATATGTTTATTAGTGTGCAGATATGTTATTTACAAAGTGTGCAGTTTAATATAAATATAACTATGTTAGTTGTGATGGACGATGTATAAAGTATGCCTCATTTGCTAACTTTAAATTGCATTATCGAAATACTAGCATGATATAAAGTGCATGCCACCTGGAGATATTGGCATCAACATTGGCCTTTGAAAAACTCATGTCAGTCAACTAGTCTCTTTACTATGAAGGTGAGAGAGTAAAGGACGAATGCATTAACCTTGACAGGGTTTATCCGGAAAAACTGTGCATATGATAATTTTCCCATTGAACTGTGTATATATTCTTCAAATGGCTGATTCTTATTGAACAGATTGCAGGAAAGTGGTTTGATTTGAGCACTTATTTTGATGGGGAAAAATTGTTTATCTCTGGACTAATTCTTTGTGACTTATGGAATTAGTGATAATGTGTTCTTTGTGTTTTTTACAATGTGATTTATAATTTCAATTCAAAACTGTAGGGACATTTAAACTTTATAGACTTTTAAAAACAAGTTATTGGAGTTCAGTGGAACAGTGTATACATGCATACAGACGTCCTTGTGTACGTGTTTGCATAAGCCCATGCCCATAAAAGCCCACTGACGATGCATCATGTGACTAAACCACACGTTCATAGTCCTCAGTTCTCCTAGGAGACGGCCAGTACAGAGTGCATGTTGCTTTCAGACAAACACATGCTTTCTGAACATTGAACTTGCCCCTCCCCCTGACTTAAGCCGTTATTCAAGTGTGTCTGCTCTGATAGGCTGAAAAAAGACTTTCTTTGTTCCTTCTGTCTCTCACTCCCACTCTCTCTTGTTTTATCACTCTCTCTATCTCTCTATTGGCCTTTCTCTTTCGCTGGGATGAGGAGAGCCCTAGAGGCTATGTGAAAGGACACACGTAGGCACCTCTAGCAGGAGTTTGGTTGGCAGTGAGTCCGGTATTGTGTACAGTCACCTTGAGCTAGTCCACAATCTCTGGCTGAAAGTAAGATTGTTTTAAGACCTGGGTCAATATTTAAAAACTATAACAAATATAGTGTTAAATTTTTTTTGGAATGCAAAGTTTGTATAGAGTGCTGCAGTGATGTATTTTTTTCAGGGCATCACCCTGGTTAGCATCACCCTGGTTCCCTCGACAAAAACCCAAAAGGATTTTTCCATTGGCTTTTGGATTATTGCAGAAAATAATATCTGCAACCAACAAACGTTTATGTTTCATACAAACTTTGTAAGAATCAATACAAATGCCAGAAGTAAAAAGCTGAAGCTATTATATAAAAATTATTGTTGAATTATCATTCATATCTCTAATAAATCCCTTTCAGCTGTAAGCATTTTAAAATGAGGCTTATCTGTTTTCAGTGACTGAAAATTTGTTAGACCAGTTCTGATTCATAATTTATTTTTAGAACAATTTTTATCATGTATTTGTGTTGTTTAACCATTTCTTTGCAGAAAACTGGCAGATAAAAATGCTTGGTAATTTGACAATTTTTAAAAACAAACAATTCAAAATGATTGCGTATGTTAAAATAATATATATGCTATATTAATAATAATAATAATTATTATTATTTATTTATTTTACAATTCTAGAAGTATGTTTTGCTATACATCTGTTCACTGTTTCCAAAAATCTCTAGTTAATTCATATTGGATGTTAAAGCTATGACAAGAGAGCTGGGCTTTAGCAAAGTATTGTTATGGTTGAATGATTGTTATTGGTTTAATCATATTTTAGCATAATATGACCTTTTATTGTCATAGCACATCCTGTATCCAAATATCTGATGAAACGTGTGATATATTCTCACCACAGGGTCTTTGCTTCAGAAGAGGTCATGACTCAAGGGTCATGAATGATATTATATCCCAAAAGCTGAATTATTTAAACGTGTATCATGACATTTGATACTGGATCTGATAGACATTTTCACTGGAAGACATTAAGCTGAAAGTAACACTGCTGTAGTTACCTGAGGGTGTATCTAGTTTCACATCAGTAGCACAATACAATCAATGGCCTGCTTTCAATGAACACAGTCTGTGTCCTGAGCATCATCTTTTTCATTTAACTAATGATAGGGGAGTTTCTGTAGTACACAAAAAGTTATTTTCTTAGAATCAGTTTGTTAATATCAGTGTACATCACTCTCTTTCTTTCTGTCCTCACTAGGTCACATGAGGACGTGTGTCTGCCTATTCTACACCCATTCTCTGATCCAGTAGGGTGCAGCACATCAGTCTGCTGAAGGCCTCAAGCATCCATCACCCTGAACCCCAGCAGGCCTGTCACACTGTCTCACTCCCCTGATTCTGCCTCTTCTCCTTCAGCACGCACCCCTCAACCCTCCCTGGAGACCCCAGGGCCACTCATCCTCAATGGAGAGCAGGGAGTGGGATGCGGGACCCTCGCCCAGGAGATCTGCCTCACTCCTGGGAACCTGAGGGAGGATCCTCTGCCGGCACAGGGCTTCCATGATGTCTCGACTCTCACAGGTACAGGAAATGGTTTTGTTGTTGTGCGACTGTTCCCAGGATACATCGATATCTGTTAGCTGTATGGGCATCTATGTGGTAACGTAACTTTAGCAGATACACCCCTGTTCAAAAGTTTGAGATCAGTAACTTTTCTTGAGGAAAATTGGCATTTTTTTTCAAATAAATGCTGTTATTTTTACCTTTCTGTTTGTCAAAGATAAAGCCGAAAATTAGGCCGCACACTGTTTTTAACACTGATGATAAGAAATATTTCTTGAGCAGCAAATCTGCATATAAGAATGATTTCTGAAGGATGATGTGACATTGAAGTCTGGAGTAATGATGATAAAAAGTCAGCTTTGGCATCACAGGAATAAATTACATTTTAAATGGTAATAATATTTCAATTTATAATAATTATATTAGTATTTCTGGTCAAATAAATTCAGCCTTGGTGAGCATTATATAACTCTTTTAAAAATATTTAGAAAAATCATACTAACCCCAAACACTTGGGGTTAGTGTATATTAACTCAAAATGTACTGGTAACTGGTCACTCATATTGCATTGCAAGATTTTGTCCAATTAAATGCTCTCTATAGTCTATTCTAACCTAAATAGTACATTATTCTCTTTCTCAAACATCAGTTGGCAGCTATTTTTGTATTTTAATTTTGCTAAGTGAGGTTAGTACTACATTGTTCACATGTAGCCTCCTACATTTGTTCTTTACCGCCTGTAGTTCACTGATATGAGTTTGTTGTGTTACCTTCATAACAGAACAGAACGCAGACAAAGGCAGGAAAGGTGGAACAAACCATGTTAGTTAAGGAAGTACCTATATGTGTTGCTTTCTAATTATACTGCATCCTAAAAGCTCAGAGTGGGCGCTGTAGTAGCTAATTGCATTCAACACTCCGATATGATTTTTTAATCATTCTTTTGCAACAACCAGTAATTTAGACATAAGCTTTTTAATTAATAACTGACTGACTAATAACATAATTCTGTTTTTTAACTTGAAAAGACATCTTGCATAACATATTGGAGCTGTTTTGGACAGCAGCAGAGATGTTTAAATGTTCACAGTGTGTGATTTTAATTTCTCAGTTAGGCCACATAATCTTTATAAGTTTTTTTTATTACATTAATGAATGTGAGCTTCTAAATGATGTAATATGATAATTAGATATTTTCAGATCATATATTCAAATGAACATTTAGATTAGTGACAGTGAATGTTTTTCTTTCCGTTTATCACACTCAGACCTGTGCTCCAGTGTGGATCTGCCAGAGGTGGAGATTGTCAGCTTGCTTACAGAAAAGTTGCCCAAATACACTCTGCGGGCGGACCATGTGTTTGGGTACGAGCATGACGACTGGCTGCACACACCTCTGCTGCCACCAGAGGCCCCTCTTGGACTTACACAGGAGCAGATCGACGAGACACTCAAGTACTTCTGTGAGTCCGCACTGTTTTTATTTTACTGTACTGCTTTGCCATTTCTGTTAAATCCAACCACTTTCAAACTTTGCAAAAGGCTTGGGAGTGAAAATAAACAGGGAATTGAAGACAATTTACACACACACACACACACACACACACACACACACACAC